GTAATTTAAGCAGCATATGAAATAGCTTGCGGCGGTTATTATAGGTGATGCCTTACCACCTAGTTATTAAATACACTGCTAACGCAATTACCGCTAATTTGAAATACAGGCACAAATCTAAGGCGTTGCTATGGTAACTGGCTGCTAGGGTGACGACGTATTAATTGTAACCGGATAACTGTTGGTTTCAACACTGTTAGTTGCTATGGTAACTAATAGTAGTAGTAACACTGTTATCGCACAACCAATTTTAATTGGGTGGTCAATTATTAAATCTCATTACAAATTATCCTAATTATGTTTGAAGCCTCAGAAGTGTAGATTAAAATAAAACGACTAGTGTAGATTAAAATAAAACGAGAAGTGTAGATTATAATAAAACGAGAAGTGTAGATTATAATAAAACGAGAAGTGTAGATTATAATAAAACGAGAAGTGTAGATTATAATAAAACGAGAAGTGTAGATTATAATAAAACGAGAAGTGTAGATTGCAATAAAACGACTAGTGTAGATTAAAATAAAACGAGAAGTGTAGATTAAAATAAAACGAGAAGTGTAGATTATAATAAAACGAGAAGTGTAGATTATAATAAAACGAGAAGTGTAGATTAAAATAAAACGACTAGTGTAGATTATAATAAAACGAGAAGTGTAGATTAAAATAAAACGAGAAGTGTAGATTAAAATAGAAGGAGAAGTGTAGATTATAATAAAACGAGAAGTGTAGATTATAATAAAACGAGAAGTGTAGATTAAAATAAAACGAGAAGTGTAGATTACAATAAAACGACTAGTGTAGATTATAATAAAACGAGAAGTGTAGATTATAATAAAACGAGAAGTGTAGATTAAAATAAAACGAGAAGTGTAGATTATAATAAAACGAGAAGTGTAGATTAAAATAAAACGACTAGTGTAGATTATAATAAAACGAGAAGTGTAGATTAAAATAAAACGAGAAGTGTAGATTAAAATAGAAGGAGAAGTGTAGATTATAATAAAACGAGAAGTGTAGATTATAATAAAACGAGAAGTGTAGATTAAAATAGAAGGAGAAGTGTAGATTATAATAAAACGAGAAGTGTAGATTATAATAAAACGAGAAGTGTAGATTATAATAAAACGAGAAGTGTAGATTACAATAAAACGACTAGTGTAGATTATAATAAAACGAGAAGTGTAGATTAAAATAAAACGAGAATTGTAGATTATAATAAAACGAGAAGTGTAGATTATAATAAAACGAGAAGTGTAGATTGCAATAAAACGACTAGTGTAGATTATAATAAAACGAGAAGTGTAGATTATAATAAAACGAGAAGTGTAGATTATAATAAAACGAGAAGTGTAGATTGCAATAAAACGACTAGTGTAGATTATAATAAAACGAGAAGTGTAGATTACAATAAAACGACTAGTGTAGATTAAAATAAAACGAGAAGTGCAGATTAAAATAAAACGAGAAGTGCAGATTAAAATAAAACGACAAGTGTAGATTATAATAAAACGAGAAGTGTAGATTAAAATAAAACGACTAGTGTAGATTAAAATAAAACGAGAAGTGTAGATTATAATAAAACGAGAAGTGCAGATTAAAATAAAACGACAAGTGTAGATTAATATGTGTAGACGATGGAACGTAAGCTAACAAACCGCTCAACCAATTCAAAAGTAAAAACACATTTTCACTGGAAATGCAGGGCTGAAAATATTGACACAGAGTTTCGTGCAGTAAATAGAACGCTAGTAGTGCCGCGTAGTGCCGCGTAGTGCCACTACTTGGACCACTGCTCTGAGACCGAACAAGGGTTTTACGAAGTTATGTTGACAACTTCTTGTAATCAACTGGTGTAGGAGTAATATCACGTGTCACGTGTTACCATAGCAACGTGTAGGAGTAATATCGGGTGCCACGTGTTACCATAGCAACGTGTAGGAGTAATATCACGTGTTACTATAGCAACGTGTAGGAGTAATATCACGTGTCACGTGTTACCATAGCAACGTGTAGGAGTAATATCACGTGTTACTATAGCAACGTGTAGGAGTAATATCACGTATCACGTGTGCTGTTCCCAAATTGAATCAACTACGTAAATGCAAACGAGGAATCAACTTGGAAAAATTGGGATATTTTGTTAATAATTAGACAAAACCTAACAAAGTTTGCACAGTAATTGTAGATTTTAGGGCGCAGTTCACTGAATCAATATTAATGTAGTTAATAAATAATAGTGTAGTTAAGTGATCATAGATTCAGTAAAATGCTACAATTCACCTGAAAAGGGTATTTCACGTACACATCACAGCACGCTATTGATCGTTAAACACAGTTTGTGTAACTAGCTGTGAGCAAACTAAGTGGGTAGACACACTAGAGCTGGCCACTGTCACCACCAATAAAACTTATTGTTCCAATTAGGTACAAATACGGAGTAGAGATGGGGTAAATGGTTACTATGCACGTGCATATACTGTTGCAAGTTTATTGCACGTGCATATACTGTTGCGAGTTTATTGCACGTGCATATACTGTTGTGAGTTTATTGCACGTGCATATACTGTTGCAAGTTTATTGCACGTGCATATACTGTTGCAAGTTTATTGCACGTTCATATACTGTTGCGAGTTTATTGCACGTGCATAATATACTGTTGTGAGTTTATTGCACGTGCATATACTGTTGCGAGTTTATTGCACGTGCATATACTGTTGCGAGTTTATTGCACTTGCATATTATACTGTTGCGAGTTTATTGCACGTGCATATTGATATACTGTTGCGAGTTTATTGCACGTGCATACACTGCTGCGAGTTTATTGCACGTGCATATACTGTTGCGAGTTTATTGCACGTGCATATACTGTTGCGAGTTTATTGCACGTGCATATACTGTTGCGAGTTTATTGCACGTGCATATACTGTTGCGAGTTTATTGCACGTGCATATACTGTTGCGAGTTTATTGCACGTGCATATACTGTTGCGAGTTTATTGCACGTTCATATACTGTTGCGAGTTAATTGCACGTGCATATTGATATACTGTTGTGAGTTTATTGCACGTGCATACACTGCTGCGAGTTTATTGCACGTGTATATACTGTTGCGAGTTTATTGCACGTGCATATACTGCTGCAAGTTTATTGCGCGTGCATATACTGTTGCGAGTTTATTGCACGTTCATATACTGTTGCGTGTTAACTGCATGTTCACAATGTTCACAAACCGCGCAAAGTGCAAACATCTAAAAAAAAGCTTAAAGCTCAAAAATGATAGCCGAAACATCTATATTTAGTTTCATGATAACATTAACGTAACTACATAGTAAACTACGATACACTGTCTTCAAGAGCTATAACAAATGTTTAATTATCGTACCATTATTATAGATACGATAATTTCAATAATAGCTACTATACTGTATGATATGCTATTATCTGTTGAAATGCTACTGTTGCGATGTGATGTAGCATGTGTTATTATAAAACACCATTCCGTAGAATGAATTAACCAGTTCATGGTGAAATTTGTCATATGAATGTATACGAATAGGATTAGGGATGAATTATAAAGGTTATAGTAATGTGTGCGTGTAAAGGCAGGGAGATCCATCCCTCGTAAAATGTTTGTCAGAATGTTACAAGAAATATAAAAATTAATCCTAATTGAAATTATTCCAAAACACTGGGAAAAAGATCGAACATATTCGCAAAGATCTACAGGATATACATTATACATATTCGCATAACTTGACAATCTTAAGTATTAAGCCATTAAATTTAGTTGGAAATTAGCCATGAAAGCCAGCAGGATTTGCCAGGTGACTTATAACCTACCCCTGCCTGCCTGTCAAATGGATAATCATTGGCTAAAATATCTACTATTCAACATTACACTACACTACACTACACTACACTACACTACACTACACTACACTACACTACACTACACTACACTACACTACACTACACTACACTACACTACACTACACTACACTACACTACACTACACTACACTACACTACACTACACTACACTACACTACACTACACTACACTACACTACACTAAAATATCTAACCAGATAACTTATGTAACTATTCAACATTTCAAATAACAAGAAATTAAACCGATACGAAATAAATGTAACTGTAGTATATTTGATAGCGGTATAAACAAAGTGAAGCAGAAGAGGACAACTGTTGTCTGTTCCAGTACACTAGAATTAATTGTAATTAAGATGTGTGCGTTGCCCCTAACAACAGGCAAAGAGAAGAACCAATGCGCGCCGCACTTATGTCACGTGGTACTCAGAGCTACAGATACATTATATCGGGGAGTGCATTAGTGCAATGGAATGCACGTGCAATTAGCGTATTGTAATGGCAGAGTTAATGGTGCTGCTCTACGGGACAATTACCAGCGCTCAACCTCTTACATTATCAACTCAGGGAAGTAAGCGTGTTCCCAAATAATTCTAATAATAGTAATAGTAATAATAGTAATAGTAGTAATAGTAATAGTAATAGTAATAGTAATAGTAATAGTAATAGTAATAGTAATAGTAATAGTAATAGTAATAGTAATAGTAATAGTAATAGTAATAGTAATAGTAATAGTAATAGTAATAATAGTAATAATAGTAATACCTCCTACTATACTCCAGTAGCGGTCAGCGGAGTCTACCTCTGGATCTGATTTCCCCGTTATTGTTTACACTTCCCCCTAGTTACCCCCTAGTTACCACTAGTTACCATAGTTACACTTCCCCCTCGTCAAGATATGAAGTAGCCGGCATACTGTTCCGGTGGTAATAATACGCGCACTGAATAGCCATTTGTTCTCTCGGATGTGGTTAAAGAGACGCAAACATCTCTTTTATTACCGTTAATACTGTCTCAGTGGGTGCCATGCTATTAAAAATACTTAATTTTTAGATGGACCGTATGGGTAACGCCAGCGGCGGAGAGACGACAACATCGCCCTCCGTAATGTTTACCTCAGCTACAGGACGATCCCTGTTTGCTACACTCCTCATCAGCTTCGCCACCTTTAACATACGTGGCCTCGGTTCTTGTGATGATCCAGACGACATCCACAGCAAACGGGAGCAACTGGGTACCGATTGTCTACGGTACGGCATAGATATCTGCGCTATTCAGGAGACTAAGGTTGTAAAACCGGATTCTTGCAGTCTTAGCAACGGATACAAACTCTTATTGTTTGAGCAGAAAAATGGCCGGCACTATGGACTCGGTTTTGTTATCAGTCCCCGATTTATTGACTATGTGGTATGCTGGAACAGTATCAGTGATCGAGTAAGCTTTTTGGACCTAGAACTCCCTACAAAATCAGGAAAATTTATCAAATGTAGGGTGGTCAATGTATATGGGCCACACAAGAAACTTGCAGAAAATGATCAACAACTGTTGATTAATTTCTACGGCCAAGTTAGGGACGCTCTAAATGTCCCTGCTAATGTTGAGATATTTGTTTTGGGGGATTTTAATTCAAAGTTGGGAAAAATGACTACTTCAGATAAGGACTTTGGTTTTGGTCGTTTCATGGGTAAACATGGTATGGGTTTGCGCAACGATATGGGGGAAAACTTGTTAGACTTGTTATCAGAATTTGACCTCTTTGCCTCCAACACTGGTTTTTATCATCCTGCTCGACATACGACCACCTACACTGGCTGGAGGAAGGACTGGAGTGCCGGGCGAAATAGTAAAAAGACGATCCCGGTCTATTCTCAGATCGATTTCATCCTGTGTCGGAGTAGGTCGAAGCCAATGCTACAAGATTCTAGATCTTATGCAGGCACTTTGACATACTCTGATCACAGATTTGTTGTCACTAGAGTAGACTTTAAGGACATCTGTCTTTGCTATAAACGCCACTCCAAGACATCCTTAAAGTTCAACACCTCTGAACTCACCTCGAACCCCACCATTCAGGTGAAATATCGTCAATCCTTAGATGATAACTTAAGTAACACTGTTTCTGCTCTGGATCCAAATTCAGACTTGAATGGCTTACTTGAGTCCATAAAGGATGCTGCAAGTAGGAGGTCCTACAAAAAGGTTCTAAAGGTGCTTCAATGGCAACCTTGAAGAGAATTGAGAATAAAGTCAATGCCTTCACTGGTCCATGGCAATGTGCTTACAAGCAGGGTAGATCATGTGCTGACATTGTATGGTGCCAGCGTGTGATGTTATCAGTTGTCCAGAGGAAGAGGTGGGAATACCATCGTATGGGGATCGATATGTCTAGTGCCTTTGACACTATACGACGATCTACCATCCTCGATCTTCTTGTTGAGTGTGGCTGTGATGATGACGAAGTCCGTTTGGTAAGACTTTTGCTTTCCAACACCAAGCTCAAAGTCAATATCAACGGTACACTGTCTGCTGAATTCCAGAGTTTTCTCGGTGCATTCCAAGGTGACTGTCTGTCTGGATGTTTGTTCACACTTGTCTTAGCGGGTGCCTTGCGTGACCTCCGTAACAGGCTTGAAACTGCAATGAATAGGCCTAACCCACCTATCACCGATATCGGTCTTCCACTTGACAGTGAGTATGCTGATGATATCGACTTCAATGATGAAGATGAGGACAATTTGAGGGAGCTGTTGCCTATTGCAACAGAAGTCCTTAAAGATTGGAATCTCTTCGTTAACGAAGACAAAACTGATTTCACTCATGTGTACTTAGCTGAAAAGGGAGCTAAAGACGATCAGGGTAAGCCAATTGCAGGGAACGAGCTCTGGAGAAAGAGTATCACGCTTGGCTCCATGCTTTGTAGTAAGGAGGACATCTCTAGAAGGATATGTCTGGGATATGCCGCGTTTAACAAATACAAGAAAGCTTGGAACCATAAGATCCCTCTGAGCAAGAGGCTTCTGTTGTATGAGGCTCTGGTAGTATCCGTTTTAATGTACAATTCATCTTGCTGGGCTGCCCCTAAATCAGTATTGGAAAAACTAGATATTGCTCACAGACGTCATCTGCGATCAATTTTGAATTACAAATACCCTCACATCATTTCCAACAAGAACTTGTATAAACGCTGCAATAGCGAACCATTGTCAGCTAAAGTGGCTCGTAGTCGGTGGAGGATGCTCGGACATGTACTGCGTGGGCCTACAGATGGTCCAGCCTATTCGTCGCTTGTTTTTGCTGTTAACACCTTACAGCTTCAAGGGCGGCGTGGAAGACCGCAGTCAAACCTTTTCTCACTGATCCTACACGACCTTAGTGTTCGAAAATTATCGTTAAATAATTTATGTGATTTAAACAATTTAACTTTAATCGCTCAGAATAGAGTTAAATGGAGAAGTATGCAAATTGCATGACTTTTGTTTGAGAAAGATTAGGGGACAGAAATGTTTACTTTGTTTACTATCTGTTTCTTAGAGCTTTTGTTTATATAATTATTATGAAAACTTAAAACTAGAGGTCACTTATACGAGTCACTAAAAGTCACTACTTGCTCCTTCATAAATACTACTGTTATATATTAACAGTACTAGTGGTTACTAGTGGTCACTTATACTACTGTTATATATTAGCTGTAGACTGTGTTCATGAAATGGTAGAAGTTAAATAAAGAAATAAATGAAGATAGACAAAACACACACACACACAGTGACACGCTGTCCACATAACACACAAACATTGCAGAATAGTAAAACTGTATTTAGTGAAAACCTGTCTAATTAAGTTATAAGAGAGTATTAGTTTTAACTAGTTTTAGGTAGACACGTTAAATGGTGAGACGAATGACACTACACTACACTACACTACACTACACTACACTACACTACACTACACTACACTACACTACACTACACTACACTACACTACACTACACTACACTACACTACACTACACTACACTACACTACACTACACTACACTACACTACACTACACTACACTACACTACACTACAAATAATAACTCGGTAATTCAGGAAATAAGTCATCTCTCCGCTGGTATAACCTCTTTAACAATCATCTCCTTTGCGAAGATGAGATTAAGTCGGATAAACTACACACTCTACTAAAAGTATGAGTTCAAAAAGTTGTGTGGGTTTAGTTGTTTAAACTAGAATCCTTGTAAATACAGAACACAGTGACACAACAGTAGTATTTATGAAGGAGCAATTGACACTGCTTACAGAGACCAACAGGGATCAAACCAATTTACCGGCTTTCAAATAAAGTAGCAATAAAAGAGCAGTGTAGCAGTGTAGTAACTAGACAGTATTTACTAGTAGTTTATAACTGAGACTAGAAGTAACGAGAAACTAGCCGGGTATCCACCGTAACCCAGGTAACGAGCTAACTCTTATAGAGAAACAAGTAAAATAGCTCATTATCGGACAAATCAACAGCGTAAATAGGGAAGCAGTAGTCAGGTTGACTGTTATAAACAGAGCGCATCTTCAGGGTGACTGTTATAAACAGAGCGCATCTTCAGGGTGACTGTTATAAACAGAGCACATCTTCAGGGTGACTGTTATAAACAGAGCGCATCTTCAGGGTGACTGTTATAAACAGAGCACATCTTCAGGATGACTGTTATAAACAGAGCGCATCTTCAGGGTGACTGTTATAAATAGAGCACATCTTCAGGGTGATTATTATAAACAGAGCACATCTTCAGGGTGACTGTTATAAACAGAGCGCATCTTCAGGGTGACTGTCATAAACAGAGCACATCTTCAGGGTGACTGTTATATTATAAACAGAGCGCATCTTCAGAGTGACTGTTATAAACAGAGCACATCTTCAGGGTGACTGTTATAAACAGAGCACATCTTCAGGGTGACTGTTATAAACAGAGCACATCTTCAGGGTGACTGTTATAAACAGAGCACATCTTCAGGGTGACTGTTATAAACAGAGCGCATCTTCAGGGTGACTGTTATAAACAGAGCACATCTTCAGGGTGACTGTTATAAACAGAGTACATCTTCAGAGCTTCAGGGTGACTGTTATAAACAGAGTACATCTTCAGGGTGATTGTTATAAACAGAGCACATCTTCAGGGTGACTGTTATAAACAGAGCGCATCTTCAGGGTGACTGTTATAAACAGAGCACATCTTCAGGGTGACTGTTATAAACAGAGCGCATCTTCAGGGTGACTGTTATAAACATAGCGCATCTTCAGGGTTACTGTTATAAACAGAGCGCATCTTCAGGGTTACTGTTATAAACAGAGCGCATCTTCAGGGGGACTGTTATAAACAGAGCACATCTTCAGGGTGACTGTTATAAACAGAGCGCATCTTCAGGGTGACTGTTATAAACAGAGCGCATCTTCAGGGTGACTGTTATATACAGAGCGCATCTTCAGGGTGACTGTTATAAACAGAGCGCATCTTCAGGGTGACTGTTATAAACAGAGCGCATCTTCAGGGTGACTGTTATAAACAGAGCGCATTTTCAGGGTGACTGTTATATACAGAGCGCATCTCCAGGGTGACTGTTATAAACAGAGCGCATCTTCATGATGACTGTTATAAACAAAGCACATCTTCAGGGTGACTGTTATAAACAGAGCACATCTTCAGGGTGACTGTTATTAACAGAGCGAATCTTCAGGGTGACTGTTATAAACAGAGCACATCTTCAAGGTGACTGTTATAAACAGAGCACATCTTCAGGGTGACTGTTATAAACAGAGCACATCTTCAGGGTGACTGTCATAAACAGAGCACATCTTCAGGGTGACTGTCATAAACAGAGCACATCTTCAGGGTAACTGTTATAAACAGAGCACATCTTCAGGTTGACTGTCATAAACAGAGCACATCTTCAGGTTGACTGTTATAAACAGAGCACATCTTCAGGTTGACTGTCATAAACAGAGCACATCTTCAGGTTGACTGTTATAAACAGAGCACATCTTCAGGGTGACTGTTATAAACAGAGCACATCTTCAGGGTGACTGTTATAAACAGAGCACATCTTCAGGGTGACTTTTATAAACAGAGCACATCTTCAGGGTGACTGTTATAAACAGAGCACAGCTTCAGGGTGACTGTTATAAA